GATATGCCCCTCAGCAGGGCCGCCGTGGGAGAGGAGAAGAGGGGGAGGTGACATAGACAGCCGCACCCCTTAGCTGTGTACGTCACCGCCCCGCCCCTCCTCCCCCGCAGCGGCCTGGCTGAGCGCACAACACTCAGCTGAGGTGCCACGGAGGGAGGTGAAGGGGGCGGGGCAGTGATGTACACAGCCAGGGGGCGGGGGCCGTGTACATCACCGCCCCCCTTCCCCTCCTGCTGTGGCACTCAGCTGAGAGCTCCAACCCTCAGCCGGACCATCGGGGGGGCCAGCAGCACAAGGGGCTGTTTGGGCTCCCCCGCAGTGGGAGGGAAAGGGATGGCGGTCACGTACAAACCTCGTAGAACATTTTAAGGCATTTTGGTGAAATTCTGTTCCCATTGTAGTTGATGGCAATACCCTATTGACTTCAGAAGAGCCAGAATTTCTTCCTTGGTCTCTCCCCCCACATATATTTTTTTAATATGTGGATTGTAGCTATCTAATGTAGCTTTTGCTGTTTGGGAAAATGTGTACATACTGCGTGAGATTCATATTGTATAGTTAGATTCTTTTTACTAAAACTTTTTTAGGAACCCCCCTGTGGTTTTATATTTAGGAATTTCACATAGACCATTCCAGAAGATTAAAACAACATTCAGCCTTTAAAAAGAGTTAATGAAAGATCAGTGTCCACAGCCTAGTGTGCTTGGGATTCTCAGTTGAGAGACAAAGATGTCTTATTCCTTAGTGCTCTGCTTTGAGAACAGTGGTCCTCTAAAATGCTCATGAAATGACTGTATGAATTAAGTTACCAGATTGTAGCAGAAAGAAAGGAGGATAGCAATAACCAATCAAAAATAAAATATTTGTAGCGTGTCATAAAATTATGAAGCAATAGTAGCATCAATATTTATAGGCCGCCCTCACTATAAATCCAAGATACTTTCCAAAAAACTTGGACTTCTAGCGAAACAACTTAAAGCAGAGAGGTTTTTTTCCCATGGCTGACTTCTTTTTGCGCAAATTGGGGGTGCGTTTTGGTGCGACTTAAGAGTGGGGAATAGGAGGAACTATAATGCATCAATTCCTATAAGCATAAATGATTAGTGTGGAACGGAAGCATTCTGGGGCAACTTAGAGCAGGGATGTCCTGTACTCAATAGCCCTGGAATGCTTATATTTAACATAGTAATTGTCTGTTTTAGCATAGTATGCTCAAGTCCTTATCCCTGGAACGCAAAAAGTGAGAAATAGCATCTGCCAGACAAGGTATAGAAATGGGAACTTCCTTGAATTTTAAAATTAACTGTTTACTTGTTTTTGTTCTAGGAAAGTTTAGGTATTCATAATGTCACAAAACCCGGGCCTTCGATTTGTCATGGAGTTCATTTTCTTCTTCATCCAAAAGTTTTATATGAAATTTCTACATTTGGGCTCCAGGAGTCTAAAAATGAGGTACAATATTTTTAAAAATCATGGTTTTCAGTCTTATATTGAGAGATAAAAGATCATTTTAAATTTTCAGGAACTGTAACAAAGTTAAAAGTACCTTTTACTAAGAAAGTGATAATAAAACTAAGAGGGGGATATTGAGCTTGGAACCATAATTTGGTATAGTTGAGCCTGCGATTTTTGTGCAACCAACCTGCTCTGTGGAATGGAACAGCAGTCTCATCGTCTTCCCCCCTTTGCCATTTTGGGATGAATGAAGGGAAGATGGTCTGAGCTTAGAGACTAAGGGTTGCAAGTCTTTGCACAAACTGTATAAGGGAGAAGAAACTCCATGTTCCTTCTCTGTGGTCTCCTTTAAAGGTCTTTTGAAATCTAAGCTCAATTGTAGAAGACAATAATAAACATAGCAAGTAATAGATTCTAGTGTATATAGATTACACTTAATTATAGATGTTTCCTCTTTCAAAGTCTATTCATGTACAAGTTAGAAATAACAGTTTAACTTCATATTGTGGGATCAACAAATTGACCTAGCCACCATGTTCTTTTTTTATTACATTATTTTATTCTTTGTTGTTGATCAGGTAAACTCTGCTGCCAAGGCCATTCTGATGTATCTCCTGCAGGGACAATTGATGATGACAGCACTGACGTGGAACAAGTTTATTGAGGCCCTCTATCCTATCATTCCAATTTTACAGGTACCCACAGCTTTTGTTAAAGCGTAGTTTATCTTGAGCATAGTTCAAACATAGTTTCTTTGATTACTTTACTATAAGAACACTTTTATAGTGCAACACAGAGAAAGGCATAAGCAAAGTGGCAACATTTGCAGATGATAAAAAACTACTCAAGATATTTAAATCCCAAACTGACTGTGAGAACCTACAAAAGGATCTCATGAAATTGGGTGACTGGCAACAAAATGGCAGAATAAATTTAATGTTGATAAATGATAAGTAATACACACTGGAAAACATAATCCCAACTATACATATCAAATAATGGGGTCTAAATTAGCTGTTGCCACTCAAGAGGGATCATAACATCATTGTGGATAGTTCTCTGAAAACATCCACTCAGTGTGCAGCAGCAGTGAAAGACGTGAACAAAAGGTTGGGAATCATTAAGAAAAGGGATTAAAATACTGCCCCTCTATAAATCCATTGTATGCCTATGACTTGAATATTGTGTGCAGATGTGGTCACCCCCATCTCAAAAAAGATATGTTGCAGTTGAAAAAGGTTCAGAAAAGGGCAACAGAAATTATTAGGAATATGGAATGAATGCTATGTGAGGAGGTTAATAAGAGTTATCAGTTTGGAAAAGATGATACTGTAGAGGTCTATAAAATCATGGCAGTGTGGAAAAAGTAAATAAGGAAGTGTTATTTACTTATCATAACACAAGAACTAGAGAACACCAAATTAAATTAATAGGCAGCAGATTTTTTAAAAATAAAGTATTTTTTTCATACAGTGTACAGTCAATCTGTGGAATGCCTTGCCAGGGGATGTTGTGAAGGCCAAGATTATAACAGGGCTTAAAAAAGAACTGGATAAATTCATGAAGAATAGATCAGTGATGGCCAACCAAAGCTAGTGAGTGGGCTGCATGAATGGCTCTCCTTTGTTTCAGGGGGCCAAAAGATTGATATATGCCATGTGCACTAAACATTACTCCCCAAATAAAGATTAAATACATTAATATGTAGCATACCGGATATTTCAAAAATAAGTAAAAATGCTTTAATCATTCATATATTAGAAAAGTTGTAATCAACTTCAACTAATAAAAAAATTATGTTCATTTTAAAATAAAGCATATTCAGTGTGACTTCTGGTTAGATCTGTCCTCCACAAACTTTCTCGGATTAGGAGTAAGGGATGTGCAGATGCTTTGCAATTCAGTACTGAGGTTTCCATCCATTAAGTCTCTGTCCAGTCTCTTCTCCGCCTCTTCTCCCAAGCGTGTCCCTTCTATTCTCCTCTCCTTCCCTTTCAATAGTTCTGGAGCACCAAATTGGCTGATTCATGTCCCATCCTTATTTCTCTCCCTCCCTCTCTCCCAGAGCTTGAAAGCCACAAATCAGCTAATTTGAGGCATTCAGAATCTGTGAGGGAGGGTGAAAAGGGAGAATAGGATGTGAATCAGCTGATTCACAGTGCTCTGGAAGTTCTGAGAGGCAGGGGGAAAAGTCAGTAAATGTGGGGCTCTCAGAGTGTGACAGGCATGGAGGAAGAGGGCAAAGAAGGGGATGCAAAGGGACAGGGGATGGATCATAGAATCATAGAATAATAGGACTGGAAGGGACCTCGAGAGGTCATCGAGTCCAGCCCCCCGCCCTCAAGGCAGGATCAAGCTCCGTCTACACCATCCCTGACAGATGTCTATCTAACCTGTTCTTAAATATCTCCAGAGAGGGAGATTCCACCACCTCCCTTGGCAATTTATTCCAATATTTGACCACCCTGACAGTTAGGAATTTTTTCCTAATGTCCAATCTAAACCTCCCCTGCTGCACTTTAAGCCCATTACTCCATGTCCTGTCCTCAGAAACCAAGAGGAACAAATTTTCACCTTCCTCCTTGTGACACCCTTTTAGATATTTGAAAACCACTATCATGTCCCCCCTTAATCTTCTTTTTTCCAAACTAAACAAGCCCAGTTCATGAAGCCTGGCTTCATAGGCTTCTCTAGACCTTTAATCATTCTTGTCACTCTTCTCTGTACCCTTTCCAATTTCTCCACATCTTTCTTGAAATGTGGCGCCCAGAACTGGACACAGTACTCCAGCTGAGGCCTAACTAGTGCAGAATAGAGCGGCAGAATGACTTCACGAGTTTTGCTTACAACACACCTGTTGATACAACCTAAAATCATATTTGCTTTTTTTGCAACAGCATCACACTGTTGACTCATATTCAACTTGTGGTCCACTATGACCCCTAGATCCCTTTCCGCCATGCTCCTTCCTAGACAGTCGCTTCCCATCTTGTATGTATGGAACTGATTGTTCCTTCCTAAGTGGAGCACTCTGCATTTCTCCTTATTAAACCTCATCCTGTTTACCTCTGACCATTTCTCTAACTTGCTAAGGTCATTTTGAATTATGTCCCTATCCTCCAAAGAAGTTGCAACCCCACCCAGTTTGGTATCATCTGCAAACTTAATAAGAGTACTCTCTATCCCAATATCTACATCATTGATGAAGATATTGAACAGTACGGGTCCCAAAACAGACCCTTGAGGAACTCCACTTGTTATCCCTTTCCAGCAGGATTTAGAACCGTTAACAACAACTCTCTGACTACGGTTATCCAGCCAATTATGCACCCACCTTATCGTGGCCCTATCTAAGTTATATTTGCCTAGTTTATCAATAAGAATATCATGCGAGACCGTATCAAATGCCTTACTAAAGTCTAGGTATATGACATCCACCGCTTCTCCCTTATCCACAAGGCTCGTTATCCTATCAAAGAAAGCTATCAGATTAGTTTGGCATGACTTGTTCTTCACAAACCCATGCTGGCTATTCCCTATCACTTTATTACCTTCCAAGTGTTTGCATATGATTTCCTTAATTACCTGCTCCATTATCTTCCCTGGGACAGACGTTAAACTGACCGGTCTATTTGACTAACTTTTTGATTAACTGTACTGTTCATTATTTGTGGTGCTCCTGGCATTGGCCATTGTTGGAAGTCAGGATATTCGGCTAGAATGACCTTTGGTCTGACCGAATAGGACTGTTCTTATGTTCTTAGCATTGTCATGTTATAAAGAAGAAGAAAATTCTACAAGGTAGTTCTTCAAGTGATGTCCCTGTGGGTGCTGCACTGTTGGTGTTGGATCATCGCGGTGCAGCAAAGTTTTCCCTAGCAATAGCTGGCTGGGCCACACATGCGCACCAGGTGCCTTATGCCATTCGTGCCTTCCTTTTTGCACCTGCATTCTAGCTCCTGCCAGTTCCTTCGTTTCTGCTGTCAGTTGCAGACGGAGCAAGCTCCTGTCAGAGAATCTAATCAGAAAATAATTTTGATAGTTAGCTTAGTAGTTTAGTCTGTTAGTTAGTTCATAGATAATATATTGTTCCAAGTAGTCCCATTTGTTCTTGTTCGTGTTTAAAAACAAACAAACCTGCCTACGTCGACTACCGTCTCACTATTTTCGACTGCCATGAAGGCCACAGTGTTTAAAAAAAAAAAAAAAAGAGGAAAAGAAGAAGAGAAAAGGCAACAGACAACAGAACAACTTCTTTAATTCGAACTGAGAGGACAACAGAGAACCTCTCAAACATCATACCAGGGTTGCCTGGTTTTAAAAAGTGCGACACTTGTTGTGAGTCCATGCCCGCTTCAGACAGGCATTCCTCCTGCATTAGGTACTTGGGGAAGGCACATATAACTCAGAAGTCCCACATCGTTCAAAACTAATGGCTAGAGCACATCGAGACAAGGAGATGCAACTCCACATGCTCCTCTTTGATAAGGTACTTCAGCCATCAGAATCCGTGCCGCCGCCTTCCTGTTCGGACCCTATCAGGGCCAAGAAATGAAGAGCCACTTCCCTGGCCTGGGCTCTTCAGCTAAGAAACAGGCCTCTCTGGTGCAGTCTCTACTGCCTACCTCATCCAGCCGTGTCAGCACCAGGGAGAAGTCTGGGACATCTGGCATCGGGTCCTTCCATTCCAAGAGTGCCATGGAACCAAGGCCGTGGTACAAAGCGTCATCGGTGTTAACCACCAGCACTTCTGCATAGGCACCGGCATAGGCACCGCCACCAGCAAGACCACAGGAACCGGGGACACAGTCTCCTGCTCCAGCACCATTGGCACCAAGGAAGTCACCGGCACTGACACAGGCCAAGGCCCGCACAAAAACAAATAAGGAAAGAGCCTGGCCTCCTAGTCTAGAGCCATTAATGTTTTTGCCAGCACGATGCACTTTGCTAGTGGACAAGATTGGTGTACTCACAGGAGACAACATATATTGGTCTCCCCTCATCCTCCGTCACCACACCCTCTATCCTCCCACAGTGCCATATGTAGGCAGATATCGTTATCTCCTCCTCCTTCCTCACGGAGTTCAGTGGGATCCCTGAGGTTTCCAACACTATCAACACACACAGGAGTGTTTTCTCTTCAAATTAAGCTTAAAAATAGAATAAGAAAAGCCAAAAAGGAGAAGACTAGGTAGCCAAAAGCTCAAGTAAAAGCAAAATGTTTTTAACTACATCAAGCAGAAAGCCTGCTAAACAACCAAGGCAGCTCATGGAGTATTGAGATGCCAAAGGAGGAGCAGTCAAAGACAATAAAGTCATTGCAGAGAAACTAGATGAATTCTTTGCTTCGGTCTTCATGGCTGAGGATGTTAGGGAGATTCCCAAACCTGAGCCATTCCTTTTAAATGACAAATCTGAGGAATTGTCCCAGATTGAGGTGTCATTAGAGGAGGTTTTGGAACAAATTGATAAACTTAAAAGTAAGAAGTCACTGGAACCAGATGGCATTCTCCCAAGAGTTCTGAAAGAGCTCATATGTGAAATAGTGGAACTATTAACTTTGGTTTGTAAACCTTTAAATTAGCTAGATAGCCAACATGATGCCAATATTTAAAAAGGCTGTAGAGGTGATTCTGGTAATTACAGACTGTTCAGTTTAACGTCCATACCAGGCAAATTAGTTGAAACTGTAGTA